AGAAAAATATGAAAATAATAATAATAATAATAGAAATGAAGTCTCTAGAACTCTGGAGAGGCTGTTAAGAGAGATTAGGTTTTTAGGTTTGCCAAACAGTCCCTCGAAGTATATTTCTACTCTGTCCCCCTTTCTTCTGCGCTCTTACCCTCCATTTAGTGATTTGCACATTTACTCAATTTAGTGATTTTTTTGAGATTAGTCACTTTCCTATTTACAACAAGAAGATTATAATTATAATGTTATATAAAATTATAACACCTTAAAAAAACTAATTATCACAATTTATTTTAACTAACACGTCAGTTGAATTCAACAAAAATTAGCAAGGCGTTAATGAAGAAGTTAAAATAATAATAATTTAACTTACTACCAAAATTCTTTTTTTTTTTTAAATCTAATTTAATTTCAACTACTAAAAATTAGTCTTTTTTTTTTTTTCCAAGAAAACTAAAAATTAGTCTCTTAGTCAAAGTTAACAATGATTAGTCCTAGTTCAATATATAAGGCATACATAACTTATAAAATCCAATTCGACCAGGCTTAGTATTTACAGTGTAGTATCTATATAAATATATTCTATTGATTTATCCATGTTTCTAACTCACCTGCCAAAACTCATTGCTTCCCACCTCAGCTGCAAATATTCATTCTTTGATAATATGGTTTATTTCCATTGTGATATTCTTACTAACGTTCTCATAAGACTTCCAGTCAAGCCTTTCATGCGCTTTAAATGCATATCTAAACATTGGGATCTTCTAGTCTCGGATTTAAAATTCATTAGATGGCATCTTAGAACTTCATTCCTAGAGATCAAGATCACTACGATTTCATATATACTCCATTACTCCATAGATTTTGACATTTTGTTTGACCCCAAGGTTTTTGGCGTTAAGAATTCCATGTGATCTTGATAGTCATGAGGTGGTTTTTCACACGTCAATACAAACTGAAGCTCCCCCAGCCTCGATGATTTCAAATTATAAGAAATTTGCATTCCATAGGACAAGAGAGTGTGATGGTTTCTTATGCATCCAGTGTCCTGATGGCCTAGTAGTTTGGAACCCTTCAATGAAGGCATATAGCAAATTTCGGAAACCTCCAGAACCAGACTACATACGTGAATGGGGTTTTGGTTATGATTCTTCCTTGATGATTATAAGGTTGTAAACATCAGACATACTAGAAGAGGATCAGTAAGTATCCAGTGCTTGAGATTGAAGAAGGGTTCCTGGAGCACTGCTCAATGCAACATACAGTCGAATGAAACTATTGTTATTGGTCTGTTATTGCCGCAAACTGTCAATGGATTCATCTACTGGATCTGCAAAATAGAGAATAGGTACAACATGTCAACTATTGGTTCACTGCCGGCATGTTTTGATTTAGAGAAAGAGATATTGAGAGAAGAAATGTCTCCGAATGATGAAATATTTCATACAACTTACTTTGGGTTAAGGTTGTTGGAAGCGTCGCTTCGTGTGATGAGCTTTCATTTTATCGCTGGATATGAATATTATAGACATTATGATGTGTGGGTAATGGAGGAAAATAGGGAGAGTATGCCAACAAAAACTTGGAAAAAATTGTTCAGATTTCCGTTCAGTCCTCGTCCCCTGAATGGAGAACTTTCGATAAATGAGTACAGCCAATTGGCAGATGACAGCGACGATTCAACAGAAATATTTCTTTACAACTTGGAAGACGTGTCACTTGAGAAGATTGTAGTTCATGGGGTTGGTTTTGGTACTTATCCCCACAATTTTAATATGATCCCATACACAGTTTGGTCTCAGCCGGGGCTGCAGGCGATCCTAATTTAACTTGTATAAATGCGACCACTGAATCCCAGTACCACTAATTTGCTTTTTGCTAGGTTTCTTCAACTGGTAATTATCATACGTACCCCAAAAAATAAAAGCTTCTACCTCTAGTTTTCATGTTTAAGTCTTTACTGAAATACAAGTTTTGTTTAGTCTAGTTTATTGTTAGCTTTCTTTTAATTTATGTGATTTGTGAAATAAAGTTTTGAGTACTATAATACAACCCAAAAGTATGATGTTAATTGCACAAGACTGAACTGCATATTTATTAGTACTTAAAATTTTACATGATAGTATGTTACATAACTTACATTTGGCTCTCTGTCATGGGTTTGGTGATTTTTGGGCTACGGATTTAGGGTTAGGACTATGCTTTGCGTTCAAAGGGCCTGCAGCGGACGGAACTTCTGAAGGAGAGGAAACTGTTGCGGAAAAGGGTTGGAAGTTTGTGCTGCTGATGAACCAGTACAGAGCCCATACGAGGAATCAAATTCAGTTTGAGATGGCAAATAGTTTAACACATGGAATCAAATCATCAATAGTTGTTATGCTGATGGATTTACCTCGTTTCAGTGGAGGAGGTTTTTGTTGATTCTGTCCCTGGACCACCATCCTCTCAATCAGATGAAGAGAACCACATAGAACAAGGTGCGGCTTAGTACCTTTACTCAAAACTGTTAGGATAGGACAACGTTAGATCCATAAGAAGCATTTCTTGTTTTCCAATTAATGTTATTAACTGAACATTTGAGCATTGTAATTTAGTTTACTTGATATTAACCGGCACGTTAGAAGGCTCCTTTTAAATTGTGCTTGTGAGACCTATGGTTATATAGAACTTAAAACATCATATGGTCGTAGTCTGCTGTTCTTAATTTTGTTCGGAAATAGATCACCTTTTTCGCAAAATTTAACTTTCCTACCGAGTCATCCAAGTCATGAGGCAATTGATTGAGCTATATTATTCTGATAGCTTCTTATCTACTCTACTCTGTTTTTATTTTGGTTAAGAATACATAGTTTTGAATTTTTAATCTTAAGTTAAAATCAAGACTTTTATATTAGTAGGT